ACAGATATATGTAGAAAATCTGCTGAAATTTGTTGTTTTTTGCCACATTTCCATGTTTAACTAGCGCTATTTATGTCCCAAATGTACATAATCAGATTATTAAAAACTTGGTTTCGGATAATATATCCCCTTTAAACGAATATAACTCTCTTCAGCTGGAGAGTTTCAGAGTTCAGAGTTTCTGGGCAGAGCAAAAAGCAGCCGAGGCCGTTTGGTAATTTGTGGCCTGGGTGTGTCCGCTTTCCGCTAAGAGACGAGGAAGAGGAAGGAGGAGGAGAAAAAACGGCTGCCCTCTCATCTCCAGATTAGGTGAGTCAGAAAGGGAGGAGGGGGGAGGAAGAGGAGGGTCTGTGGAGCCTGGTACTGGACCAGAAACATCCAGATTACAGTCTGTAAACACCTCTGATGCTATCTGAAGGTGTTAACCACACAAAACTAAATTTTATTTAGGCCTCATTCATAGTTCCTAAGACTGGAAAGATTTCTCAATAGAAAAAAACTAATGTGACACATATAGTGAAAAACAATGGACCAATAATAGATCCTTGAGGCACCCCAAAATTAGAGTATAACCACTTTCTATTCATCAGTATTTTTATTTTTTTTTAAAGTCAGTAAAACTAGAGAAAACGAGTAAAACAACATTTATGTTTCCTTCTATGCATAACATCAAACATGTCTTCTTCCTCTGGGCTTTCAGCCCATTTTGAAGCAGAGGAAGCTGGAGGAGTATAACCACTTTCTATCCATCAATCATTTTAAAAAAGTCAGTAAAACTAGAGAAAAGGAGTAAAACATCAATACTTTTGTTTTCCCTTCCATTTTCTCTATACATAAAATCAAACATGTATAACCGAGGCCCCGCCCCTGACTGAGCATTTTATTTGGGCTTTATTCATAGTTCCTAAGTCTGAAAAGGTCAGAAGTCCAGTGGATCGTGTTAGTAATTCCTCCAGTTTTGTGTTCAAGAATTTCTCAGAATAGAAAAAACTAATGTGACACATATAGTGAAAAACAACGGACCAATAATAGACCCTTGAGGCACCCCAAAATTAGAGTGTAACCACTTTCTATCCATCAATAATTCAACAAAAATAATTCAACAAAGTCAAATTGTACATTTCAATTGTTCATTTGCACATTCAAACCTGTATACATACTTTTGATATTTGTAATATATCCATTTTTCTATTCTCAGATCTATGTTTTTTAAAGATTGTACTTTTTAGTTTGATATTTTCTGTTCTATATCTTTATTTCTACATTGTATTTCCTTGTTGTGCTCCAAACACGAAAGGCAAATTCCTTGTAAGTCAAAAACCTACTTGGCAATAAACTTTATTCTGATTCTAAAACTAGAGAAAATGAGTAAAACATAAATTCAGACACTCCCTGAGGATGACTGGTACTCACTCATTTCTGATTCATCTTTGACTCAGACCCAGACTTCCTCCTGTGAGCGTCTATCTCCCAGAGAAGAACCTTATTTTAGAGTTTTTTGGGGCTTTTCTGTGGTTTTAAACAATTAACCCTTTAAAGCCCGATCCAAGAAAAATAGGAAGAATATTGGATTTTTTTTAGTGTGAAGTCTTTCTTTGCCCCCTCAACAGCATATGAAGAAAAAAAACAGAAAATTATTTTGATCAAATTAGCATGCAATAAGTCAAAAATAGCTTTAAAAGCCCCCCAAAACAGCTTTAAAGGCCAAAAACAGCTTTAAAAGCCCCAAAAAACAGTCTTTGACCCTTTAAAGCCTGATCCAAGAAAAATAGGAAGATAATTGGATTTTTTTAGTCTGAGTCTTTCTTTGGCTCCTCAACAACATATGAAGAAAAAAACAGAAATTATATTGACCAAATTAGCGTGCAATAAGTAAAAAATATATGTTGGTTTGGTCTTCTACTGGCTGTTATCAGGTATATCTGAATGTGTACAACAGGGGTTTGAGCAAAGCTTTTACCACTGAATGATGCAGAAAGTCTCACATCCAAAAGAAACCGGATCACATATGACACATTTGGCTTTATAGGGTTAAAACTATTAAACCAACTGTCTAACGTTAGCTAAAGTCTTTCTCTGATCTGGAGAAACGACCAAATCTGAGCACAGACAGTCTGAAAACAGCAGAGAAAATGTCCCAACATGGAGGTAAATCCCACTAAAAAGTGTTGTTTTTTTAAATATATTTTGTTGTATTTTTAATGGCAGAAACTTTGAGTCTAGTTCCCCGAACGGGAGGAGAGCCAACCGGTCATGAGTCCAGACAATAGCCCTGTGTGTGTGTGTGTGTGTGTGTGTGTGTGTGTGTGTGTGTGTGTGTGTGTGTGTGT